TAACCTCTTTAATAATACCGCATATATTGAACTTATGAAAAGGCCCGGTTCTCAAGACGTACCAGGCCCGATAATTTAGCGGTACGGCTCTGAGTTTGTCCACAAATAATGCCCTTGAAAACCTACGCTGTGAGACGTTACCGCATTATGGTTTCATTCCAAACAGGAATGAAATTGTCTTGGTGGGTTAGTCGCATTTTCTACAACGCCTACTAACCCTCCGTAACCAGGGAGGTTTATTATGACTCATACTTTAGGAGTATGAAATTATTATGAATGTACATACATACGTATTAGGATTACGGGTCTCGGTAAAGTCAATAGATTGATTTTGAATAAATAATTCTTGGTTACAAGAGTTTGTCCTAGAAGTCAATTTTAAAAACTTACAATTTGTACACCATTCCAGCCCAAATTTTCTTAAAAATGCTATAAAAATTAACTTTTGTAATGAGTTAGTTACTGGCAACACGGCAGTTAAAGTCAACTCATTTAGTGCAGTTTGGCTGCATTATTTAAGAATTTGTACCTACGTAATCAATTTTCCCTATTGGGGTGGTTCATTCCATGAAATCTTCAACTTGATCAGACAGCAAGGTCAAAACAAGCAAAAAACATACTGGAATTGTTTTAGGTTTTGAGCAGAAAACCCAATCCTGTTGAAATGTTGGAAAAAATTCCTCTGAAGATATTTAGTTTATGCATATGTGAAATAATTCTGGGCAAATGTTTCAGTCGAGTGTTCCGCCTCCTTTTCACTTAAGCAGAGAATAATTGAGGCAGTGTGAATTACTCAGGAATTGCATCTGGAATGAGTAGATTGTTATAATCGATTGACTATATATTGTCTAATTTACGATGTTATCTTCATAAGAACAATATAATCACCTTAACTGTGTTAAGATTATTGAAAGGTCTAAAGATTCCTGTTGATGTCCAACTTTTTAAGGCTCGGCATTAAACTTAAGAAGCTAAGGGAACAGTGACTTGCCGAAGGGTAACTAATATGCAGTCGGAACTCTAATAATTTCTCTAGCATTGTTGTATCATGTAGCAGAGAAAATGTAAACAATTCGCCTCGATGATTCCGAACGAATGTCAGGTCAAGTTTTTTCAGCCCAGACATCGATCGAAGGCTGAAGATGTTGGCCAGCTTGTGATACGTGCCGTCCGTTATCTCACTCCTAATCCGCTTAATGTCGGCTTTTAATTCTTCCAAGTGCAAGCCATCAATGGCACAAAGTTGCTCCAGATCTCTCGAGAATACCCATGATGTCTTACTAGTTTTAATTATTTTTAGTTTTTTTTGCAAATTGTGAAAGCGACTTTGCTAAAATGCTGATACAGTTGCAAAATGCAACACAACTAATCGTGAAGGAAGATAGATTTTCAAATTTTTTGAACAGCTCGGCCCAACTCTGATTTACACAGACGGAGCCTGAAAAGGATTTAATTTTCGGGAGTGGATTCGTAAAAAGTGTGTCGGGTAGGGTGAACAAGTTGGAAGTAGAGTTGGGCCTACAATTAAATTCCACCAGGTTCGGACACCACTCAAGAAGGACGGTTTGCACAAAGGATCCTGCCGTATGTTGTCCAGGTGAGGTTGGGACAACCGCATTGTAGGTCATTGAGGTCAAATTGAGGCCGTATTTTTGAAGAAAGTCTGCAGTCTGGTGTAAGCAGTATTCAGCTCGATGTTGTTGGAGAAAGTGGCGAAATGGGATACGTCCACTGCTTAAGAAGGAGTCGAGGGTTTCTTTCATTTTCACAATTTTAGTCTCCCCCAGAAGTATGTCGAATAGTGATTTGGCTACAAATTTCTAACGGGTTCGAAAGGTTAGAATTGAGGCGAAATCCCATTCTTTGCAAACTTGACGAAAAATCTTGAGATCGTTGAAATCCAGATATTGGCTTAGTTTTTGGGCGATCTGAATAAATAAATTTTCAAAATACAAACATTATTCAGATATTAATTTTTTCTTGATAACCACACTTACAAAAAAATAGTAATATGAGTATGAAGAAAATTAGGGATGGAATGAAACAGAAATGAGATATGGATTTCGAAGTAAGATAAGATGGGGCTTATCTCCTTTCGTCTATATTACAACCATGATAATAGATACTCAGAATTTTAAAAATTTATACTTTAATTGGTATTAAATATTTACAAACGTGTCTCCATCAGAGACAAATAAGTGGAGGACCTGAGCAAAATAATTAAATATGTAGAGCTGTTACAATGAATGAATACTTACCGGCAGCTGAAGTAATGGATTCTTATAGTTTTCCGGATTAGTAGTTGCCTCGGACCCTTGTTCTATACAAAATAAACCAGCTATTATACTTTTTTAAATTTGTGTTAGTAGTATTTACCCCTTGCATATTTATGCAAGGGGTAAATGCTCGGAGTGATTCCCATCGGAGTGCCTCCCATTTTCTTCTTAAATTTCGTTGTAAAGAACTTTTGTTAGAGTGTCTGTACCTTTACCGTCTGGGTTCGGGTCCATTTTCAATTTTTAATTGAGAATACTGCTTCAAACAAAAATTAAAAACATAAACTCAAGGATCTTACATTTGCTAAGAAGGAAATTAAGTTGTGAAAGTGAAATGTATACTTTTCCAAATGGAACCGTCATATGACCGACACGTGACATTTGTGCTCCTCATATATTTAGGGAGGAATCATATCCTTCTCGTGTATTTGGCATGGATGTGAGCAAATAATACAGAGAGGAAATTCATACCCTGAGGGACGGAATGATGGAGAGGGTACTTATTTACACCGACCTTCTTTCAATTATCCCTTATATACGGCCATCATTTTCTAGCGTACATAAACCTCCATATGGATTGGACTTTGCCTGCCAGGGGTACCTATTCTCCTCATCCATCCTTTGTTCATAATGCTACGCATTATTATGTTGGCAATGTATAAAAATGCATTGAAGTAATTCGGTCAGATGATATTGCCGACTCAAAAACTTGCATTTGTGGATAGCAATAAAGCACTTTTTCCATATCATCTTCGTACGTAATATTAATCCAGCAACAGTGTTTAAGTATTTTTAGGCGCACAATGTTATCTTTACGCATAATGGTAAAATTGCATAAAGATGAATAAATGTGCATAAAATGCTTAAAAGTACATAAAAATTGCATAAAATCTATAGAATGACAAATGATTTTCAATATGAATTTTAGAAAACTTTGGAGGTCGTTAGAATTTTATCATATCCCTATGCAACTACTGAACAGCTGCAGCAGTTGCAGAAAATTCAAAATAAAAACACAAGGTTTACAAAATTAAATACGTTTTACTAACAATGCAGGTTTTTCTCATGAAATTGGTATTAGCAAAGCCATTATGTTAATGACATCGAACAGAAGAGCCAAGCAGGTCGTGATGATAATTTCACGACGGGATGTGGGTTCTTGACCAACGCCCTGAGGAATAGGTAAAGTTTAATTAATTAATTGATAACTTTCTAATTATTAAAGAGCAATATCCCAACACACTTAGATAACAGGGATTCCATTTTAATAAAATACGGGACCATACCAATTAAATTTAACATCTGCCCAGGTACGTGGTCACATTCGAGATCAGCTCGGCACAAAAATCCAAGTAAGAATCCACACGTAAGAGTAATCCCACATACTATTTCGGGCAAGCTTGACGCCATCGTTGCCACCGAGACTTCTATCACATATCTCTTATAAGCCTGTATTTGTTTGGCGAAAAGTTCCTCATGTATATTTTATAACGTAAAATAGTATATTGATTAGCTAATTTTTATTCGTTCTTTATCAATTCTATCAATAAATTAATAGTAATGCTCGGCTTTTTTAAAACAACTTCACGGCTTAATATCATACAAAGGAACAATTCATACTTCATACATATTTATAAATTTTAACTGCAATTCACTATTGGAGTAAATGTTCGTGTCCACGCAATCATTTGAAATTTGATAGGTTTGAATAAGTAAATCTGGTTTTACAGCGAACAATCGTACCAATGATTATTTCTTATTAAAATTGTTCCTTGTGAAATATTTTATATAGAGATTGGAAAATCCCTTGATTGGCTTGGATTAAAATATTTATACTTACAATGGAAGGTCCCGAGGCTGTCGACGCCAATTTTGATAAAATTGGTATCATTCGATCACAAATCTTCTAAAAACAAGAAATGGTCATGGAACTATCTGCAAATGGCTAGTAGGTGTCGGGAAAGGTTGACCCGAAGAGGTCACGAACGCAAATAAAGGAGAACCATTTCAACTTTTCTCGACACCCACTGGCCATTTGCAGATAGTTCCATGACCATTTCTTGTTTTTAGAAGATTTGTGATCGAATGATACCAATTTTATCAAAATTGGCGTCGACAGCCTCGGGACCTTCCATTGTTAGTAAACTAATCCTATCACTTTTAATAAATAAGTATGTCTAATTTCTTTTATTTGGATCCATTCAAACCCAATAAACATATAGATTGGACTGAAATTTTTGTTGAAAATTTAATGGATTTTTCTATATTGCGAAACCTTTCGTATTAATCCATACATCTTCGCACTAGAAAGTCCTAGTCAACGAACTTTCTAATGGCAGGATAGACTTTGGGAAAAATTTCTCGCTTAGGGTTCTTTTGCCAGAATCCTACTCGTTTTCACATAAATTCAAAGAATGATGATTTCCGCTCTTAACTCATTACTTCAATTAAAATTTCCTTCATCAAACATCCCAATAATTCTAATTTCATCAAAGCTGACCATGTGCTTGAACCAATTTTTATTCAAATTGCACAAAGGACAGTTTACCCATATCATGTTCAATCGACGGATACGTTTTCAGCATTTCTTAGCCATTTTTCTATTCCTGCTCCATTGCGTCCTCCCGTTGAAATGGTTTTTCTTCAATTGGATGTTCCCATCAAATCCGCCCGTTGCAAATTGGGAGCTTATCATCATGGGCTACAGTTTCTGTATATTTTTAGGTAGTCTTATAGCAGTTGACCAATTTAATCGACTTGAGACGGAGACTCGACTATTGTTAAATTCGTCGATGAAAATTGAAAAGGATTGCAGAGATAAAGGTGGGTTACGTGGGGTTTGTTTGTATTACGTAAATTAATTTCTGCACTTAATTTCTTGATTTTACATTTCTACTACTAGGCCTGCAACTACGAGCGAGAGTGGACGTGGCTCTCCAGCCAGCTCCAGGATTTCAACTGGATTTCTCCCATCTGAGTTGGGGTGTGGTAGGCAGTGGGATCCCAAATAAAGAGAACAAGTCCCTCCACAGTGAGCCTCGCCCCCTCACGTTCCCTGGCCCCACTGCCAGTCCAATACCACACCCGCTCAGCAACGACAAGCTGCTTATCGTCACGGATGTGCCACCACCATCTATCTCCATCAGGCGCCTCGCTCGTAGACCTGCACGGCGAACTCCCCCCAGGTGAGGCTTTTGTATGGTAAATTGGGGTGGTGACCTAAGGGGGCGGTGATGGAAGAGTGAGTAGTGTGTCGTGTTGGTGGGAGCGGCTGGAGTGGTCCTACGGGGTTTACGAACAATATATAATACCGGAAATAGGCTGCAGTGCACGATTTGTACCTCCCTATTATGTATATTTCAGTGTGACTGCTGTTTAAAAGCACCTGCACAAAATTAGTGCATAAAAGTGTTTAAAAACGTTAAAAAACACCCACCCAAAATCCGGAAAAGTGCACAAAAGTGCAAAAAAATGCAGAAAATTTTTTAAATGAACATAAAGTAATGCAAATAATATTGCATTTTTCGACATAAATATTTGATTCGTTAAAACAATTTAGTGATATTTCCCAAAATTCCTTCATCAATATTCTTTATGTAAAGATATTTAATTTTTTGCAACTTCGAGTTTTAATTTTCATCTTGCTAAAGTGATTAGGGCAGCTCAAAACTTGTGTATAAATAAAATGAGAATGATATGACTTTTAGAGTTTTTAGAGTCATATTGAGCCTAATTTTATGCACTTTTATATATTTTTATGCATTTTTATGTATTTTTGTGCATTATGCATGCATAAAAATTATTTTAGGCGCCTAAAAGAAACACTGTCAGTTATCCTTCTTGTCGCTAATCAAGTTTAGCTCTTAATTTTGAAATTAATTAATCAAATGCTATCAAAATGCAATCTTACATTTTCTTTCATGAACTAACTTTTGCCTTCACCTCAACCGTTCTGCTCATCAAAGTGGCGTCAGTTCCAGCAAGAAGTGATCTAGCTGATATATCGACTTTGGAAATGGTTCAAATTGTGAGTGGAAAATGTTTTCAAGGATCTCAGCTTTTAAAGATAAAAAAATATCAAATTTGCATATAAAAGTGAGCCGAAAGGTAAAAAATCAGATTATGATGTTCTTACTGATCTTTAGTTCATTAGCGGTAAGTATAAAATTTTGTGGCGATCTAGCAAAATTCGAATTTTTTGATTGGGCAAAAAAATTGAATCTTGATCGAGTCCGCATGAACAAAATAACACCATAATCTGATTTTTTCTAGGGAAGTTGAGAGCCCCTAATACGTAACAGTCTGTTACTTGACTAATTAAATTTTCTGTAGATGTTTCGACCCCCTCTTACACATTGGCACTACCCGACCGACCCATGGAACAATGTAGCCATTTGGAAAGACATCGCGCCAGGGTTTGGCGAACTGACATTGGTAATCGGTGCGATTTTATCAAATTTTAACCTCACCTATAAGTATAGGCCTATCGCAGGTTGGGAAGCGTCAAGCGCTCGAGTTAGGAAAATGGCTGCGATTTCGTTACGATGGTTTCCTCAGCAGCTCTCACACGAGGAGGGAAGCCATCTTTAAAACATCCGGAGTGGATCGAGCCATCCAAACTGGGCAAGTAGTCGCTGCTGGAATTTATCCACCTGCTCCGCACGATCCAAAAAGTGATTGGGATCCCAGCAGAGAGATTAATTGGCAACCAATCCCGTTTCACGTTGCCCCTGATAGGGTAAGAAACATACTCTTTACGTGTAGTCACAGAATGGTAACAATAATTTTCGATAAATTCGAATTTGTCACCCTCGGTGAAGAAATTTTTACCGAGCATTCGCACGGTGACAATTCATTACCAAACTAAGAGAGTAAATATCCGAAAAATTTTGAACGGTATTTCTTTTTAGATCATGCATCCCAAGACCCTGAGTGAAACTGAATGCCCGAGATTTGTTGCAATGAAGAACGCCTCCTTTACCACGACCCCTTTAGCCGTGATGATAAACTCTGACCCCGAAGTGGTCCGTGTGTGCACCGAGATATTGAAACATTCCGGACTGACCATGTGCCATTTCGGGGTTATTCACAATCTCCACAAAACACTGGCAATTCAGGTATTAGAAGAAATCAGGGGACCGTTCCCAGACAATTTTTTTGGGGATCTGTGATAATTTCCGGGAGACTTGTAAAAGTCCTCGCCAAGTTTTTTCCCAAATTTAGTTCGGAATTATACACGGTATCCACTGGGGGAAATAGACACGGTGTATCATAAAAATTAAAGTGATTGAAACTTACAGGAATTTTAATCCCCCCAGCGCAAGTACGGATTGCCTCTGCCGGCCTGGACAGATTCAATAATGGACTCCATGCGACGAATCGCTGTTTATCGAACCGATCCGCGCGTCGCCGTACCAACGACGGAGGCACGACGGCTAACATCAGGACCAATATTGACTGAGCTAGTGGGCGACATGGAAAGGAGGATATTTGGCGGTGGTCTTGTTCCCAAAATGACGTCCTACTCATCCCATAGCACCGCCGTGGCTGCCTTGCTAGGAACGCTGGACATATTTGAGGCACGTCATGCCCCAGAAGCTTCAGTCGTCGCGGTAGAATTACACAGATTCAGGGGAAACAATCACGTGGTTCGGGTAAGGAATATATTTCTAATTGTGTGTATACACATTAATCAAGGCTTGTTTTAGCGCACCGAATTCATAAAAATTATGCCACGATGCGATTCGAACTATTAATGAATACTTCAAGTTTGTATTTATTTAATTTCAGATTTTTTTCCGGAATGAGACAAATTCACCACCGTATGAGTTGGAACTACCGAAGTGCCGGTATCCCTGTACTTTCGCCAATTTTAAGACAACTGTTTCTCCGTACTTACTAAGTGATGAGGAATGGTGGTGGGAATGTAGGCGAGGTGTTGGGAGAAGTGCGAGAGGGGAAATATATCACAATTCAATTAGTTCTGATCAGAATCCCTCCTTAGTTTAATGTGGGCCGAGTTAAATATTTTTGCAGCGTTTTTAATGAACTCGGTTGATAGAGTGATAATTGGCATTTCAATTTATATCACATATGTATGTAGTTAAAAACGTCACCAACTTGGAGAAGAGAGAACATTTATCAGTCCATGGAATCTTATTTTCAAAGTTGAGATACGACTTTAGAATTTTAAGTTGCACATCCAATATGACGTGTACTAAAAATCATGATGATCCGTCATCTCAGTCTTGCTCAAAAAATCGTATAACACAAAAACCAAATTTCCCAGGGCAGATTTATTAATTAAATAAATCCATGGTGCATATAAATACATGTCATGTATGTGATAATAGCATTATCCCACGATTAACATAATCATAAATAATTATAATGTAATAATATGTACATATAATGTAATACATAATGGTAATAAAAGTCTTCCACAATATGAAATATGAAACAATGAATTAAAATTGTAATTGAATTTGCATAATTTCATAACCAATTTCTAATTAGCGCTCCAATACATATTATAATTTTCGCACTGGATTTGATAAACTTCAAAGTTTGAAACCATGACCACCTTTGGTTTGAAATTCCCCGTATCTGTTAGTTTTAAATTTTACTCGGTATGAAAATTTGGTGAAAATGAGGTCTGTGCCGTGTAACATCCGTCCCCCTCTTCGTATCCATTACTCATCCCTACTCTCGGATTGACATGCAGCGTCCCCTCCACAATTTCCCCACCAGTAGGGTCCTGGTCCTTAATCAGCTCTATAATTCCCGCAGGACGAATATTCCTTACTCTATGCTGTTCCAAAAAACGCGCAATTTTTTCATATAGTGCCGACGGCTCGGTTATTCGGGGGACCTAAATATAAAAGAGGAAGAATTAAGGGGTATTCATGACAGATGTGATTAATTTTATAAAATTCAACTACACCATACACGACCTAAATTAAATAAGCTCAAAATTTTGCAAATTCCGCCGTATAAATTTATGAAAAATATTTTTTTCGCGAATATTTTATATCGAACCGAGGATTAAAAATATTTAATTATAACTCACGGCATAGTTCTGGGTCAAGTAAATCCCCACGTAGAGTCCGACGAGGAACGAAATCTGCAGGCAAAAATCGTATAAAATTCTGCGAAACTCAAAGTCCTTTCTTTCTCCCTTACGAATGCACCTACGAGGAGATGTGTCGCTATGAAGATCACCAGCAACGTGTTATACGTGTAGGTGAGGATGTTCCAGAAAATTTTCCCAAAGAAATATTTCTCCAAATAAAAATATTTTATTTCTCACAGAAAATCCGTCCCGATTTCTCCCCAACTTTGACACTTTAATTTTTTTGCCCTGAAATCCCACACGTTCATTCCTAATTATCTGCACTTTTCAGACAAAATGTGAAGAGAGGATTGTTTTTATTTTCCTCTGCATATCTTACACCCCCCACTGATCACAATTGTACCGCACAAGCCCCCAAAGACATGGCCAGATCGACCAGCCCGACCCAGATGGTGGACATCATGCTTGTCTCGCTCATATCCATACCTCTCAGGAAAACCAGTCCGGAGAAAATGGACACGTTTAGCAAAATCACTCCCAGCGTGGCACCGACCTTTACCAATTTATTGCATGAACCACTACCACCATGAGGTTTACCTAATTCCTGGTCGTCCAGCTGTAATAAAATTTATTAATTCCCACATCCTCAACAAATGACTTTCTCCGGATACCTTATTTTCCCTGGCGGAAGAAATCAATAGATAACACAACCTCACTAAACTAATCCCTGCTATTATTATAGCCTCACCGGAAACGATAAACTGCACGATGCACGATAGCAAGAGTCCGATGAACATATCACACCAATTATTTTTTTAATAAACTGTAAATCGATGTATTTCACAAACTCTACCATTTACAAGGCGACAAAAAATAAATATGCTCCGCTCCGATTTCTCCACAAACAGAATAGCGATGGATGCAACTCAATTTATTTTTAGCAAGGAAATAAAATACGTGACTCAAAACTAGGCATCATTGACACCCTCTCTTCATGCTCTTGTGTGCATTGCAGGACCGGAATTTTTACATAGCGGAGATAGTCAAACTCAGATCCCGTTATGTATTTTATGAACGTTCCACCACAATACGGTAGGGATCATCTCGGGAAAAAATTCCGTCACCTTTTTTCCTCAATTTAACCTCCACCAATGTCGTGCTTGGCATTCTGACATCCAGCCACATTTGTGTAGATGCGTAAAAAATATTTGTAAATGATTAAAAATTAAATCATCAAATTATCTAAATATAATTCTCTACGATTTGTTTGCAAATCTGTACATTTTATGATGGAAGATGGACTAAAAATTAAGTTATTAAATTAATTTACCCATTACGTTCTCCGTAAAATTACATACAACGTGACAATTTCACGGATGAGTACATAAGCCTCAACATCCTTGTTTCATTGGTGTCATAATCATGAAAAAATCGTTTATTTATTTACTTGTCCTCACTCCCAGATCGAATTATGTTCAGTAAAATGTGCTAATTAGGAACAATGTTACCAGAAATATGAGTATTTTATGCACTGATTCTCCACATTTTGACGTGTTCATGACATGTCCGAATATTTAGTGAATCGTTCTACATTTCGCAGATCACAGTCACCGTATTGGCAATTTCAGTGGCGGCGGAAGCATTGCTCCCAAAAAATTACAAGTCCTAAATTTTTGTTCCTACTCTGTGACTTAGGCCACATTGTCACCATTTCCCAAAAAATTACTTCCGAATCGTTAAGCAGCTTATTTACTTGGTAACAAAGTTTATTCATTACACTTCTAATGATGAATTATGCTTATTAACTGTACTCCTCGCCATACAAATTATACCAGACGATGCTCCATTTGTCCACAAAAATGAAGAATTTACCATTCATACCAATTTCACAGTGCTCTCTTTCATCCCGTTTTTGGCAGAATCAGCACTTTCTGGAGTTGTTTATTTAGGTTAACTCCGTCCAACGGAGTTGAATGGAGTTAGTTATCGTTTAATTCGTTATCAGGAGGACCCACGCATTCAGGACGGAATGACAATCTACATCTCAAAAAGACTAAAAATATGCGTAAAAGTTGACACATCCTACTGTAAAGACCTTCGAAGATTGTAATAGCTACTTACATGCTTATCATTCGTTAACATGTATCGGTCCGTCCAATTGTTATGTCATCGTTTCTCCTCATTTATGGAGCACAACCCGAAAGAAATTTCCTTGTTCATAATTAACAGAGATTGTTTTTTTCTTTAAATTCATCATAAATTCCCGTTTTGCTTACCATTTGTGAACAGCCCCACATAAAATCTGATTGATTAGTGAAATCAATGAAAGAAGTGTATCAAGTAATTACTTAAAATGACAAATTTAGCATTAATCCCTTTATCGAGAATAAATAAATAATTCCACAAGATGCCTCATTTTAATCCAGATCATTCCCACGAAAGCAGCTCCACAATATCTCATAATATTTCCAAAATGAAAAAACTCATATTTTCTCACTTCACCAAATTTATGGTAACGTTTTTAATAATATTTCTCCAAATGGCTGGATCCTATGGGGTAAATCATATCCCTTCCCATCACCACGGTAATTAGAAAAGCTTGTATTCATCTCACAAATTAATTACTAAATCCCTAATTATCCCTTTAAAAACTTTATTTAATTAACTAATCCCCAATTTCCAGCCCCTCCACCACACCCCCTCGACCCGTTAACCCCCTCCGAAATAAGGCTAGCCTCCTCCCTCATCAAAGCCCACTTCGTCTCCACCCCCACCCTCTACTTCTCCACCATAACCCTAAAAGAGCCCCTCAAATCGGTCCTCCTCCCCTCCTTCTTGGACGACACTGACCCACCTTTCGTCACCCGGACCGCATTCGCCAACGTTATCGACCCCGTGACCCAAACCGGGTATGAAGTCCTGGTCGACCTGACCCGAAAAAAAGTCACCAGTCTGATCAAACTTGACCCAGGAACGCAGCCAATGTACACCATGAACGAGGACCCCGACATCAACGCGGTCGTTTTGGCAGATCCCCAGGTCCAGTTGAGATTGGCGGCTGTCGGGCTACAAAATTTGTCCCTGGTCGTCCCGCTTTATTGGTGGGTGGATTGTGAAAAATTTTTTAAATTGTGTGTTAATCGGTAAAGAATATTTCGTAATTTTGAAGGGATTTTGGATATGCCGGAGATCGTCCGGAATACTTAGGGAGAAGAGTGGTCCAAGTTTTCTTCAGTTTTCAGAACGTTCCAAACGATAACAACTACGGTAACGTTTGCGGTTTTTTTAAATTCAAATTGGAAAAAAAAATTATTAATTGTTGCAGCCCACCCCCTCGGTTTTGTCGCCATCGTGGACACCTTAGCCCAGAAAATGCTCGCCATCGAAGACCTCCCCACCCAATTAGGGTTCGAAACTAGCCAAGCCCCCTTCGGCGACACTAGCGCCACTTTCACCATGGCGAACTATGACCCCACCCTACTCCCGGCTTCCTTCTTCCGGAAGGATATCCGACCCATCGCAATAACTCAGAAGAGCGGTGCCAGCTACAAGGTCAAAGGTTATCAGGTGGAGTGGCAAAAATTCAAATTCCGCGTCGGGTTAGTACGCATTAAAAAAATGATTTAGTAATTTGAAATTTTTTTATGAACTTAAATTCCTAATTTTCATAAATTTAGATTTAACGCCCGCGAAGGTCTCGTCCTGTACAACATCAACTATAACGACAAGGGTCACGTGCGACCATTAATTTACAGAGCATCGTTATCTGAACTTTTTGTCCCTTATGGCGACCCTAGACCGCCATACCACCGGAAAATGGTAACCATTCATACCTGCCGCTGTGAAAAAAAATTAAATTATGGCACAACTTGATAAATGAAGGAGAAAACAAATCCAACTGATTTCAAAAGATTTAGGCTTTATTCACCAAGCGACGCGTTTCGCAATATAAAACAGCTTCATCAGGCTATAAAGTTACAAATTAATGAATTAATAATACATAAAATAAAATAAATAAATTGTTACGAGCCATTAAGATTTTTCAAAAAATGAGACTATTATAGTTTACAATTATTTTACCTATTGGGTGATTTATTAAAATATCTGTAGTTTGCAGCAGTGTGACCGTGGTTGTTGAAGGTCAATTCTTAAATGTCAAATTATTTTGTGAGTGGTTTACAATACTTTTCTAGCGAGTTTATCTTTTTAAATGACATTATTAAATTAAGATTATGAACAATGTTTTTGTACCTCTCATTTTTACTTTTTTCCGCTTGCTCACGTATATACTCTATGACAAGTTTTTTGAACCCATACATATTTTTATAAAAAGGCATAACTATGTATACATTATTTCTTGATAAATAAGGATCACTAGTATTAATATTGTATTTGTTAAAAATACTTGGTTGATTTTGTTGTAAATGTTTTAAAACTAACTCCGTTTTTGGTATAAGTAAATTATGCCTATTCATTCCTAGTACTTTGTCTTTACAACTTTGTAAAATATTTCTAGGATATCCTCTCTTTGAAAATTTTTCGAGAATTAAACTTATTTCTTTATCAGCATCATTTAAATCAGAGCAAACCTTTTTAGCACGGAGAAATTGACAATATGGTAATGACTCTTTCAGGGATTTTGGATGATTTGATTGATAATGTAAAAAATCCAATACTAGCCTTTCCCGAGTTCGAATCTCGGTAGCGTCAATTTTTTGTTTATTTTTACAAAATTCCATTGATCACTTTTTAAAAACTCCCGCAGGCCTTCGACGCCGGCCATTACGGGATTGGTCAATCCACCCACCAACTCCGCCCCACGGCCGACTGCAAGGCAGGAGCGATCCACTTCTTCGACGTCACCGTGTCCAACAAGGCCGGCCTCCCCGTCACCATTCCCGCCGCGGTCTGCATTTTCGAAGACGACGCAGGAGCCCTAATGAAAAAATATAACCCGGTCGATCGCCGCTCGTACGTGGTCCGAAATCAGCGCCTCGTCGTCACCTTCACTTCCGGCTTAGGAAATTACGACTACGAATGGAAGTGGATTTTCCATCTCGATGCATCTATAAAGATGGAAGTCAATCTCCAAGGAATCGACAATCCCACGTTCATCTCCTCCCGCCAAGGCGGTGCGGGAACGCCTATTTACGGCACCGTTCTGACACCAACGCCCGGAATCCTGGCGCAGAATCATCAGCACTTTTTCACCGTTAGGATCGACACGGAGATCGATGGAAATTCAAATACTGCCGCGGTTGTTGACGTAGTCTCAGCAGGTTTGGAAATTCCCGATAAATCTTAACTTCCAACGCTTTTAAAATTTTGAAATTCCCTCTCCCCCAAGGCCCAACCGGATCTGCGGAAAACCCTTACGGTAACGGTTTTCGTACAGTCTCCACTATCCTTAAAACCCCCGCCCTCGCCAGAACCTGCGCTGATTTCGAACGTTCCAGGACTTGGCACATTTATGGCAACTTATCGAGGAAACACCCCTTTTCCCACACCCCCATGGGTTATCGTCTCATCGCGGAAAACCCCATCCGCCTCATGATGAACAAAGACAGTCCGATCCACCCCAAATGCGCCTTTGTAGATCACACCGTCTTGGTAACGCCCTACCAGGAGGACCAACTCTACGCGGGAGGCGCTTACCTCAACAACTCCGGGCTGCCAGTCTGGGTCGCCAACGCGCCAGATTCAAACCTCGTTGAGACTGACATCGTTTTATGGCACGTTTTCGGCCTCACGCATATCCCTCGTGTGGAAGATTTTCCTGTCATGTCGGCCGAGTAAGGGAAATACTAGACCTATTTTTTAACAATTTTCAAGAAATTGCGGTCATCATATTTGAATCGCACCAAATAATTTTCTTATTACAGGACCGTTTCATTTTGGTTGAGACCGGTCAACTTTTTTCTGGAAAACCCAGCCCTGGATGTCCCATCGTTCCTTAATATTCAATAAAGGACACCGAAATCATATCAGCCCAAACTAAAATCTGGTCAAAACTACGCAGACATACCTCCAATTAAATTCAGTTATATTGTATATCCTTCTTTAAATCAATAACTCTTGCAAACCAATATTTAAAATTTTTAATTTATATTAAATAATTAAATTAATTGCTTTAGATAAAGTTACAATAATAAAATACGTATTCTACATGTTTTTTTTCTCCCTGGACAGGTTTAATTTCGATCGCGGGGGTGGTGAGAGGATATGCATGTCTCTGAATTCCGATATTTTTCAGTACCCTGAACATGTGAATCTTGCCGACAATTAACCCCAGGGTCGCAAATTTCTCCACAATTTTTGTATGATTTAATTTATCTTTGAAAAACGCTTTAATTAGTGTATCGTATAGTTGTACGTCCATTTTACAATTAGGATCGATTTCTTTTTGCAAAAACTCAGAACACGTGTCGCTGCCTATAAAGTTGAGGATAGGCAGTATTTCTTCATGGACGTCCAAATCGGTTTGTGGGTGGTTAAAACAACTTTTGACAAGTGGAAACAACCGGTTTTAACCACTTTTATCTTGACAAGACTATGATTTGGTGGTCAAAAGTGGCATTTTTACAGATTTTGACTGCTGTTCTTGATAATTTGGTTTTAACAAATAACTCAAAAAACTGGGAATGATGCATAAAATTGTTATTTCCCCCACTAGCATATGCCACATGTTGGACTAGAAATTAAAATGGCCCAACTTACCGTACTCACTGTCTGTACGACAAATACATAATGTGAGACTAATAAATACTCATCATCCACACCGGCATTTCCTCCGTTGTCACTTGCCTTGAAACATATCACACCGCAGTGTGATTGATGATTGATACTAATTATTTTCTATGTCACATTAACATCCTTATCGTTGTACACACTTGAAACCTAATTAATTTGTTGTTTTTTTCCTTTTGACCATATGTATTCCAGGCTACCTGGCTCATTACTCGGCTTAAAAGCGATGATAACGTCAATCAGATTCAACTATCGTCACGCGTATTTCACAAACTCGTTAATTTGAAATCAGTCAGATACGAAATCAATCATTTCCATATCTGCGTACCTTGCGCTTCCTGCCAATAATGCTTATAAAGTGGTGCTGACGTACTTCCATTGGGCAGTATTCATAAAGCTGGAAGCCAGCAAGGAATTTTAAAATAAATCTTAACTCACAGCTTGTATTCAATTAAGCCAGATTTCTTTGACCATATTAAAAATCGCGGTCTTGTTGCTCACAACTTGCTCATTAGTTGACCCAACCATCGCAACGTCCTTGGTATTGATTAATCAGGGTTGTCACTTTAAATAAACTAATCACTAATCCACTTAAATCTTACAGACCGAGTTAATCCGAAATGGAACCAGACTGGAGTGGACGTATGAGCGGAACAGCGTCCTCCACTATATGACACCTGGCATGACAGCGAACGTGGTCGACCATCCTCGCGAGCGTTTCAACGTTTCCTACATCATTGGAAGAGATCTCGGAGATCGGCAGGAGGGAACAACGATAGCTCCGGACCGGCTGCGCACCACTTTTCGCACAATTAGCGACGGCTTTGTTACCGTGACTGGGGGCAAGTTGGCACCCACGGTGTTAGGCCCGAGTGAATTCTTCCTCATGCCAATTAACGATGCGGAGGACAATCTTTTCCACTTGGTTTACAGTGGGCAAGCCTTCGTCACCCCGAATACAAGCGCCCCATTCGAGTTTTACCTGAGTTCTAGGTTCCCCGCAGAACCGCCCGCCGTCTTTGCGCTGGTGCCGTACCAATTTCATTTAAATTCGTCCTATGGAGGTAAGCAGCTTAAAACAGGGTTTACTTGTCTAGGAAATGACGATTCATGATTTATTCGTGTCGTAAAATAGTTACGAAGTATACGAGATTTTAGCAAGCTTCGTAAAATTTTATTACTGCAAACCGCGTTACTAAGGTTACGATCATTACTAAACTTGACCTCTTCTTTTTTCTTCATAAATACTTTACAATACTAAGGATTCCAAGTAAAATCATGAATACCCTCAATATTTTATAATTTGCAGGCACTCGTTCCCGGATTCTCAGTACAATCCAAGAAATTGAGCTAATCGAAACGGAAGTTGAACGCACATCCGCATTTACTAGTCTGATCCAACAGATGATATCCTTCAACCATATCATTGAAGGGACGGAGATTTTCGTGCTGGGTGACGCCATTAAACGCAGGTCTGACCTCATATGAGAACACCGTCCCATTCGACATGTTACCAGAACAGGTTCAGTTTGTGACTCGGGGAGACGTAGACTCGTTTCCGGTCCAAATTTCAGTCATGGATCCCACATCTGGCATCACTACTCCGGTACATGATGTGCAATTTGTCAACTTCACGCGGCCCATGTACCCCTTCGAGTTGACGTTGAACGGAACCAGCTTCATCGTCCGGTCAACTTCCGGGCGGAACGTGTACTGGTATATGAATACCGTGGCACCTTACGAACTCATAACCTTTGTGACAAACAGGACTCAATTTTCGTTTCAATTTCCGTCCACCAGCCGCCCCGGTTATGGCCACTTTAACATTTATGAGGGTTCCGTCCTCCGCTACGCGACGAACAATCAGACGTCCAGCAGGTTCTGTAGATGCACGACGAGCCAACCGGTTGCTAATTTTGTCGTGTCGCGTTACGCCGTAAACGTGGGGAAAATGTATAACGGAGCGAGTAGAGGGGGTATTGTGGAGATGGCGTATCTTATCGCGAAATATGACTCGGGCTCGGTTAAGGGATTGCATTTTGGGGAACTGTTGGCGGTGATGAACCAAAACGGGTATATCCCTGGGAAGGAGATATTCTCGGTAGGGGCATACATGATGGCCTCCCTGGATGAGGAGGATCCCACTTTTGACCTACTTCCGGCAGCTGTTAGGACCATATTTATGCACAATTTATCCTGGGCGTTTTCTGGGGAGGACGGCATCCGCTACGCGATGAAACATTCGTACGCGTCGGATTTGCATGTGGACGTTGGGGCGTATAAATTTGAATATTTTGCCCCATTAGGGGACATGTTTGAAGCGGTGAGATTTGGGATTCTTTACGATTCTCGGGAATTGGGGGATGAGGAACATATTTTTGTGGATTCTGCGACGAAAGAGTTAACGCATGAGGGGATCCTAGAAGGTGGATTGACGTACGAGTTTGAATTTGAATTGATGTCAGATTTAGCGGGGTTGTATGTCTGGTGGGGTGGGGGCAAACTTGGAACTTTTGAAAATTTGCCGGATTTTTATTTTGTGGCGAATAACGAAACTAATCCGGCGCTGTTTAGGGTATCGGAGTTTGAGTAATGGTGTAGTATTTAAAATGTTAGTATGAAATTATGTAAGAAAATAAAATGTGAAGAAGGGGAAATAGATTGATTTGATTTTTGTGTACAATGTAAGTAAAAAAACCTTAGTTAATATGCACTCTAAATAATCCGGTAATAAATTATTCGAACTTATTACCAGAATGTAGGATTTTTTTAAATTAAAAACAATTCTTGCCAAAAGGTTAAGTGACCGACCTTGCAATGCCTAATAATACTGAAGTTTCAAATATGGAATAATTTTTTAAATTTTCTAATCGATTTTACAAATTCCAACTATTTTACACAGGGTACGCAATTCGGCGCCTTTTTGCTCTAAAAATTATGCCGTTTTGCCGAATTGCTGTTTTGCTATGCCGAATTGCCGTTTTGAATGAAAAATTGTAGTCGGATCATTAATTTTAGTTTCGAATTAATTAATACTTTTCAACTTCTTAGGATGTTGACGATCATCACGCAATGCCATAGTATAATTTGTATTTTAGATTTACTATATTTCCACCTTGCCAAATCCTGATCTTGTAATTATTTATGATGTAGTCGTAATGAATACGATTAAACAATAGTTCAAACAATTACGTGCTAATATTATTTCTAATATTACTATTATTTAATTACTAGCATTATTGCATTACTCAATTTCTCACATAACCCCAATTGAGCAAAACGGCAATTTGGCAAAACGGCATGATTTTTTGCTCGGCAAAACGGCAGTTTTCGGCAGTTTACGGCACGGCATTTGCCGGATTGCCTTTTTGCCGCGGCGAACCCTGATTTTACAAACCCACGACACTCAGGCAAAATACATATTGCCAGATTTTGAAATTTCTACCACACACACTTATAATCAAGGTCACAATGTCAGAAAATGTTAATTTTTCTCAACCAATTACCATGATGAAATTTGAACACTTGTCTGCAGATAAGCTTAATTCTTATGATTAAGTGTTTTGGTCATCATTATCCGTCAAAAGGTTACCAAATTACTCCCTCAGGTCATTGTGGGGGTTGTCAAAGGGATTGGCAAATATTAAGTTACGGAAATATTAAGTTCGTCGTCTAGTTAACTATTATGATTGTAAAATTGAATTTAAATTTTGAAATAGCACAACTTGTATTTGAAAAATGGAAGCTTATCAAAGCTTTGGCTGTTTTAAATGCACATATTTACTTACAATAAATGCAACTATTGTACTTTGCTGAGCAGATTTATGATGAAAATTAACCTACTTAAAACTTGTCTCAACTTTATGTGCATGCCTGCTACAAAGAAACATCATGTCCAACTAATTTGTTTATCCTTCACTGTGTACAGGAAGATATGCATTGAGGCAGCGTTTCGTAGATGTAAGAAGTTTAATCAGTTATATGTTTTCACAGATAACTGTATTCCATGCTGTCTGCTGGGTGGTTGCAATAAATGGGAACTCTCAGTATTATTACTGAAAGAGCCCATTTATATTTTATATTTATCTATCCAAATGAAATTTTCTGGTTCCGCAGGAAAGTAGACCATCCTCATTCATGTTTGTTTAATGTATTTAGCAAGAAATTACAATTCCACATTTAAGCTCTGACTCTTTTCAACAACTTTTAAAACTTGTTGAAAGTAATAGTTTTGTGTTGCATAAGGTAGACGGATTATTTAAGAAATATTTTAGCAAAATGCTTAAGTATGTCTCATAAAATATTAACCCTGACAGTATTGGCTGTCCGAGGCCAGATCATCGGCCGCAGTTAGAGTCTGGCTGTGTACACTCACATTACATATAGTCCAGATCATTGATCGTTCACGGATGCCAGAATC